CATCTGTGATACACATTTTCCAGAAGTTTGTTATATGCCTGTGAAAATGATTGACGAGTACATGCTCTCCAAACAGTGGCACAACTGCTCCGACAAAAGGAGGTGAAAATCGAAATGTTGTCATTCCTGGGGGAAAAATAATGCAACATTACTTTTACTAATCCAGGCCATTCACATGTGATCAGATCGTTTTTAGTTACAACACACCCACACGAAAATGGAAGAGACCAGTACAAGTGTATCTTGAACCATGTAGGGGTACATACCTTGGACTTAGCTAGTCCTTGAGACTGTCAGATAATGAGCAGTCTGCAGGCATCATGGGGTTTACTGAGGGCCTGTATGTAATGTTTCACAGAACACATGCAGTTTAGTTACTCCCTCGGCAAGGTTGAGTTTCCACACAGAAATCAGGAGCAGTGTGGCCATAGTGTTAGTGTTGTAGTGTCCATCTGTTGTGTTTCTCACAAACACCTTTGGGCCAGTGATGATTGTGTTGTTCATTCACAGTCGAGCTCCCAAGCCTCATTAGTCCAGGATGCTACCATCAGTAAGATGCTAGCGGAGAATGAACAGAAGGTGGATCAGCTGACAGAGGCCTGGGTTGACAAGTGGAGGGAGGCAGCCAGAATCATGCAGGTGGGTACTTCACCAGCAGTCTCCTTCGTCGGTGCTCAGTGCTGAATTGAAGCAACCAGGAAAGAAATCAGTTTTTAGAAGATGAAGAATAATTCCAGAAAGTGCTCCGTGGCTCCGGAAGGAATTTAACCCAGGCCTCCTTAGCTTGGAAATGTTCAGTTCTGGCTTTTTTTGAGTTCTGGCTGCCCACCCTTGTATGTGCTTTCATAGTGTCTCTGTTTATAAAGCACTTTTTGCATGGCGTCTGTCCTCTGTTTCCATCATGCAAAACTAACCCAGACTCATATCTGCTTACCACTACTTTCCCTCACATGATTCGGTCATACATGTATATTGAATGCAAAAGGTCTGAAGCAATCATCAGTTACTGTACGTCACATTTCTATTGGCATAGACAAGTGGAAAGCAGTTTTCTCTTTCCCCATTTCTTTTGCGTTCTTGTTTGTTTCCGTAAGGAGCTACCATAACTGTGGTCCCACCCACACTTACGCCCATGTCCCTAAACTTAACACGTACGTGTACATGCGTGTGGCAAGTTATTTTACCGCATCCCATTGGTTTTAGAGTTGTTTAATGTGCGCATACT